GGTCCTGGGTGTAAGACACCCACTTAATTGCAAAGGCTTCAATAATTTTGGTTAAGAATTATCTACTTATGTTATAAGTTAAAAGACAAATAAATCATGAGCAAAACCAAAGCTCTTAAATCCAGTTAGATTGATTCATGACAGGAAAATGCAAAAAACAGTAACTAAATGAGAAAAGTTAATGGCAAGGCAGCACTAACAGATGATAATTCTTAGCAAGCAAATAAATTCTAAGATCATCTTAAGAACCAGTTTTCGTGCATTTAAATCTTTTCCTCAAAAAAGCATAGGAGAAAAGATGACCAAACCCAAACTGACAAGCATACTTAGGAATATGTGAAAACAAAACAAGGCTCAAATACCATAAGTTACCTCAATGATAAACCAAATTCATCAGTATGCATTCAATGTTCACACATCTGAATATCCATGAATAACCCATTTATATAAGTTTTGTGATAATTCAAAAAAAAAAAAAAGGAGAGAAAAGATGATCAAGAAGGAAGGAGGCTATGTTACCTACTAGAAGACGAGGTCCCCCTTTTCTAGAACTTGAAGAAACCCAAAAATGAGTCCCCTTTCTTCGGAATTTGCTTCCCAGTTCTCCCCTTTTTCTGCCTTGCTTCCCTCAAGTTCTTTTCTCCATTTCTTTCTTCAATTTTCCAGAAACAGAGGGAAGAGCTTAAGTTCTCACCCCTTCTATGCTTTGTTTCTCTCTTCCTTCCCTCTTTTCTTCTTCCCACTTTTCCCTCTTTCTTTGCACTCTCCTATAAGTGCTAGGTTTCTTCCTTGCTTCTCAAACCCGTATGCCCACCATTTTTCCCTTGCTCTTTACTCAGTCTCGACCCCTTTTTATAGCCGAATTCGGCCACCTACACTGCTCCAAGTCACGGTTCTCTTTGTTACTCTTTGCTCTTTTCTCGTTATGTCTTTTGTCCTCTTCTCGTCTTCGTCGAGTCTCACTGCCGTGCTATTTCTTCTTCCATGTCGCTGTCCTCGGTTTCGTCTTGCTCACAATCATCATCACGACCTAGAGCCCATCATCACATCGTCCGCACACCAATCCTCGCCGCCTGTAACACTTGCTCGCATCTTCACGCCAACATATACTCAGCTCGATCACCATCGTCTACCCTAAGCCTTAAGCCCTCTCTTTTCTTCGTCAACATCAGAAGCGGGAAGAAGAAGACAGTGAAAACCTGAAACGACGTCGTATTCGGTGTTCAAGGGGATTGAACTGGTTTGGGCTCAAATTTCATGGTCTTCAATTCCGGGTTAGGTTTGGCAAAACTTAGTTTTGTAACGATTTTGGGCCTAAGAGAGATGGACTGGGCTTCATGAATTTTGGACTTTTCTTTTTTTCTTCCCCTCTCATTTCCTTCTTTTCTTTCTCTTCATTTTTTTTTCCTTTTTCCCTTTTCTATCTTGGATTAAAAAAAAAAAAAAAAAAATTCTTCACTTTTCCTCCTTTTTTTTTTTTTTTTTTTTCTTTTTGAAGCAACATAATGACAAAAATAGTGTGAGTAAATTAAATAAACAGTTCGTGATAATCGTTTAAATTGAATTTTTTTAATGCAAACTTAAGTTACAATAAAACTTATTATTATAGAAGAAACTAATGAATATAAATTTTCAAAAACATATACTTGGGATGAAAAATATAAAGAAAACGGGTCTATTGAAGTAAAAAAAATAAAAACAATTATGTCTTCTTAAAAATATAAATTTTGAATTATATCAAAACTTATTTGTAAAGAATTTTATAGAATTCAACGCCAAAGAGAGACTTAAACTACTAATCAAATTTAGTTATCTATACTCAATGAAGAAATTAAAGCAGAAATTGGTCGATATATTAGTCTCACCTTAGTACCAAAATTTTACACCCTTAGGCAATTATATATCTTTATTATGTATATTACTGAAGAGAATAACTGATCATAAAATTTATTAAAATTTTATCGAAAAGCTCAAGAATCAATGTTTTATATCACTCACCATTTTTAAATTACGAACAAATTTTTTTCTAACTATGAGAGAATAATGCAAATATATTAACTTTTAATTTCTTATAAATTAGATATTATAATTATATTAATATAAAACTATTATGTTTTTTTATAGTCTATTATTATAGTTTTAGTACATTCACAATTTTATCTTTATTAGTATTTGATTTTTTTATTTGTATTAGCAGTGTTACTTCTAATCTTAGTAGTATTGTTGTTTTTTATCTCATTATAAGTGGTATTTCTAATCAGTTTTAGTATTTTTTGTTTAGTTCTACTTGAAAAAATTTAGTTAATACTATATAAGTACTTTTTTAACCTTCTTAAGATAATCATTCCATTATCAATAACTTCAAACATTTTTCAATTTACGGTTGTGTGATACACTAAAATTTTTAAATTTAACATTTAAAATTCTTAAATTTAATGTTTAAAAATTTTATGTGAAAATTTATGTTTTGATTGTTAAAATAGTTGCTACTTTATTCTTTTGTGTAATTACGTGTAAATACATGACAATATTCGTAATTAGGCGTGTATCTCAAAGTTTTTGATCTCTTTTGTCTCTCTTACGAAAATTGTCTTAAAGCTTTTAATATTCTTTATCTCTCTTACAAATATTGTCAATCTTCCAACTTTTTCTTTGATTCTCAATTTAGATTATGCACTAAATTTGATATTTATTTTTAAAACCTTAAATACATTATTATCTTATATATAAATTATATCATGGCTACTACACAATTCCGTCCATTTTACATAACTTTAGAGGTTAAATTTTCTTTGAGACCTTTTTTCCAACATAGTTTTTCACATGCATTAACCATAAAGTCCTATGCCTAAAACATTATAAGAAAATGATATGACAGTTGCAATATTTTAATAATCAATAACAAAAAAAAAAAAAAGAATCGAATAAATAATATATACATATAATGAATTAATTATATTAAAGCATTAGATTTTCCTTTAAAATATCATATAACAAATCGTTGTAAATATCAATTTTATAAACTTTTGTTTTTTTCTATTCAAGTTTTAGAAAGGCTCTCAACGTAGATAAAAAAAGAAAACGAATTTAGCAATATGAATCTAAGATAAATATTAGTATTAACTCACTTTCTTACATTGATAATAATGTGTGCAGAGAGTAAAGTATTTTTTACATTATTTTTATAAGATTCATTTATTTATTTACAATAACTCTATGGTATTAATAAATTTGTACATCAAATTATATATTGTTAGAAAGGTGTCAATGGAAACTTTCAACCCACGCCCAAATTGTATGATGAGAGAAAATTGAAGCTAAAAAATAACAGTTTTATATTCTAATTTAATTAATCAAAAAATAAGAATCTTGCATGCTTTGTTTTCATCTTATTTTTATTTCATTATATTTTTAAGTATCTATCTTTTTTCATTTTGTCTTGTTTTTCGTTACTTTATTTTATGTATAATAATAATAATGGATAATATGCAAACCACCCCGAGTCTTTTAGTCCTTTTATGTCTGTAGTCCAAATTGGAAGTTTAAAAGTTTAGACTCTCTCTCTCTCCTCTCTCTCTTCCATAGCCGTCACCCACCGCCAACTTTCTCTCCTCAAGCCCCTTTCTCGTCTCCCCACTCTCCTTCTCGCCATGTCGATCCTCCTCAACAACACTTTATCTCCAATTTCACTCTCGACGACACGCTCCTCTCCAAACCAGATTTCTACCTTTCTTCCTCCTTTGCTCTCCACGGCATCGCTTCTCTTTTCGACTACTCCATTTACGGCACTGCTCACAGTCGTGCTCCATTCCGGTCATCACCTCCGCCGACTGCGTGGGACTTCAGGGTGGTCGATGCCGATGGCCGGACGTCCGGCGTCGATTGCTTGTGCAGGGAGTTTCCTGTAGTTTTAAAATGGATAGCGATCTTTTGGTTTGATGAAATCTGTTTTGTCGTGTATGGTGTGATGACAGCGTGATGATGGCGAGGATGAAGAGATTCTTCAAGTGGGTGATAGAATTCATTGTATTTTCTTGATTGATAGTTCAAGAAGAAAATTGACTCTTCTTTTTCTTCTTCTTGCTATTTAATTTAACTTCAAGGAATCGAAATAAATAAAGAAAAAACATTTTTTTCAAAAAAGATTTTCTTTGTAGAAAATGTATTTTATATATCGTTCTAAAATTTATAAAAATTTCACAGTTTTTATTTGTTCAAAAAATAAATTCTAATTATTTGTAATTTACATATATTAAAATAAAACATTTTTTCAGCCCCAGGGTTTCCTTAATTTTTATTTTTATTTTCAATCGTCTTTTTGTGTATAATCAAAAGACACTTTTTTATTTTTATTTTTATTTTCTTTTTCTTTTTCAGTGCTTAGCAACAGATTTGGTAATTATGTTCGTGGGACGAAATCATAAGAAAAAGAATTCTGGGGAGCTGGAAAAGGAAATTAATGATAGAGTTTGAAATCATACGAAAATTATGATTGTATTCGAAAAATTTTTAAAATATGTTTTTAGTATTTTTATTTGTGCTTAATATTCTACAAACAGACAGCCTAATACATATGTTTATAAATAAATATATGCATGAAAAGTATTTTTATATTCTAAAAGAAATTTATATTCTTCTACTGTACGATAAATGAGTCTTGAATTTTTTTTTTTTTTGAAAAAAAGAAATATTTTTATTAATTAAATAAAAAAAACTTTTAATATCTTGTATTAGAACTGAATTCGAAGTTTATTAGATTTAAAACCAATTTTGATTATTTTGTATACCGTGAAGTGAATGAAATTTGAAATAACTTTAAAGATTCACTTATAATTTTATATATGAGAGTTTGACTTTATGAATTATGGAGACAAAAAAGAAAAACTCCATAGAGTGGATTCTGATAACTATTGTTCAGACATGAATTCATATAATCAAAGCCACCATGGTCGTGTGAAGAAAATTTTAAAACACCAGAGTGAAAGGGAATTGCCAGATGATGGAAATATAAGACAGTAAACCTTATGAAGCAGATAAAGATAATCTGAGTAAGAAAAGAGTTGAAAAACACCATGGCAGTGAGTGGAGGAGCTCAAAACAAGAGACCAAGGTGACATCCCAAGCTGATCATGGGAACAGCAAAAAGAGAAATGACGGAAGTGATAAAACTGAAGAGTGGTTAGATAGAGACACCAACAGCAAAGACATCATTAGAATAAAAGAAGAAGCTCAGGGCTCCATGGGAAGGTTTTAGAAATACTCGATAATGATGATGTTAGGTGTTGGCTTCATGAAATTGATTTTGATGATGATGATATGTTAGATCGTGAAAATTGCGAGGGATAAAATAGTGAGAAATACTCATTGAACACTCCAGACACTTGATGAAGATGAGAAATATCCAGATGATCAAGAGAAAGCAATTGAGTTAGGAAGTAACATGAGAAACCCAAGTTAAGGATGATGAGAAAATCAGGAAATATATACTTACATAGAGAAACTTCTCAATGAAATGCTGTTTGTACTCTTTGTACTGTTCTGATTATCTGTATCGGAGTTGTGAAAAGCTACCATGTTGCTTGGCTTATGAAAATGGATTCAGTACTCATTTCAAGATTCTGCTCGCCATTGTCATCATCATCATGGCATCACAGCTTACACAAAAGAACAGACACAGAAAACCAAAAGATCATCACCCATTTCAAAACTACAGGAAATATTCTCTTTAGTTTCTCTGGAAGGTGCTGTTCCTCATGATGCCATTCCACTATATACTGATGCTTGTAATACTCTGGAAGAGGATGACAGGAACAGATGGCCTTTGATCTATATCGAGCTGGTGCTAGTGTTTATATAAAGCTTGAGAAGCAAGGATTGCTCTTTCAATAGTAATGGAATACGACATACCATGCATGCAAATTTTTCATTTTGTGAGATTCAGATGATAAAAGTAATAACTCCATTGTTATCTGCTGCATATTTTGGAGTTTGCAAACCACAGTGCTCCCTGGGTTGATTTGTTTGTCAAATAGGCTGAATTTTTCTCTACTTATATAATTCATTTAATGGGTTCTCTCTAAGTTTGAGAATTATTAACCTTCATCTCAATGTAAAGCCAACCCGCACCTTAATATCGAACTTATTAGCTAACTTCTTTTCACCAAAAGATT